AGGGTTTAGGGCTTAGGGTTTATATCGGGTTTCGGGTTTAGGGTGTAGGGTTTAGGGTTTAGGGTTTGGCGCGACCTGGGCTTTGGAGGCTTTATAGGGTTATAGGATTATCAGCCCTACTGTTGATGGTATAAATCCTGCATTACCGTAAGGAGCCTAAACTATCGGAATTATGGTATATTCTCTATTATGGGTAATGCAGGGTTTATATCATCAACCGTCGGGCTGCAGGGCTCTAGGGTTATAGGGATATGGGGGTTATGGGGTTATAGGGTTATAGGGTTATAGGGTTATAGGCATCAGCCCTAGGATTCTGTAAGGTTCTGAAGAGGGTCGAGTGTAGGGCTTGGTCGAAACTTACTTCTAAACTTAGCCCTGTTTCCGGAGGCTTAATTACGAAGACAAAACCCAGTATCTCAGAAACCTTTAAAGTCAGTACACATATCTATATCATGCTGCTTATGGGAAAGATAGCCTTTAGGCTCAGCCGAAACAATGGGCGCAGAACTAGCACCGCCAGTCTGTTTCAGATAGGCCCTACACCCTCTACCCTAAACCCGCGACCCTAAACTCTTAACGAGAAACCCGGGTTCAGGGTTTAGGGTTTAGGGCAAACCCTGAACCCCTAAACCCAAGACCCCAAACCCTTTGCCCCGAAACCCATGGGTGTAGAGGCTCAGGTAGTGTAGGGGCCTCGATACTTAGACTAGGGTTTTGGGGCCCTTCATACTATATTTACAATAAGGACCCTAAACCCTAAACCCTAAACCCTAAACCCTAAACCCTTTATACTATATTTATAATAAGGAACCACCCAGAAAAGTGTAGGAAATGAAGGCCCCAGACCCCAAACCCGTAAACCCTAAAACCCAAAACCCTAAACCCTAAACAGTATAGGTAGCTAAACCCTAAACCCTAAACCCGTAAACCCTAAACCCCTAAACCCCTAAACCCTAAACCCTAAACCCAAAACAGTATAGGTAACTATTAAGGCCCCTATATTAGAGTCTCAGGTAGGCCCCCATGCCAGGCTCTCGAGGGAGTGTGCCAACGGTAGCGCCGAAGCTTTGCCTTCCAGCGTTCGTTGGATTTTTTCAGGGTGTACCTTCAGAACCCAAACCCTACTTTTTTGTAGGGTCCCTATAAATCCCATATTAGGGTTTATAATAAGAACCTACAAAAAAGTGGGTTCGGGGTTCTTAAGGTAGGGTTTAGGGTTTAGGGTTGAGGGTCTAGAGTTAAGGGTTTAGGGTTGATCTACGTTAGGCGGTCTAGGGTTTCGGGTCTAGGGTTAAGGGTTTCGGGTTAAGCATTGGAGTTAAGGGGTTAAGGGGTTGTCGAGTTTATGGGGTTCAAAGGTTTAGGGGCTTATGGGGTTCAGGGTGTTTGGGCTTAGGGGTTGAGGGCTGTAGGGAGTTTAGGATTTAGGATATGGGCTTTGCTGCTGCGAGTTCTTTCCTGCTAGAGGGCGTGTCCGGGTGTACTTGAAGTGTTCGGAGACTAGGACTTAGTCAGGGTTTAGGCCTTTAGGGCTTCGGGTTTAGGGCTTTAGGATTTAGGGCTTCGGGTTCAGGGACGGTATCTCAAGTAATGCCCACTCCTGAAGCAAGGCATAGTGCTCCATGAAGATTTAAGGTTTGGGCCTCGGCTGCCGCGTATAGAGTTCAATGGCCAATTTAGGGTTTAGGGTTTAGGGTTTAGGGTTCATCTTCGTAAACCCTAAACCCTAAACCCTAAACCCTAAACCCTAAAGTCCGCGGGTAGTTCTTTAAATTAGGGTGCCTTTCAAGCCCTTTTTTGAAAAGGGCGCCGTACGATTTTGGGAGGGGGTCGAAATTAGAGATCTACCCTATTAGGAGATTCAGGATGAAACTTGCGGGGGTGAGGATTTAGGGTTTAGGGTTTAGGGTTTAGGGTTTAGGGTGTAGGGTTAGGGCTTCTTTTTAAGTTGAAATGCACCCTTTCCATGAATCCGGGCGAGCACAGGTTTTAGGGTTTAAGATTTAGGGTTTAGGGATCGGGATTTGTGGATTAATGTAAGGGCCTTAATAATTAGAATAGGGTTTGGGGTTCCCTTATAGTAAACTTTGAATAAGGAACCCGACCAGTAATATTGGTAACTATTTAGGCTTCTATATTAGGGCTTCGCATGGTGAGCCCCTCTTTTCTGTTCGCATCCATTGTCCCAAACCTCTGCTGATTATTCTCAGCCACAGCTGCGCTTCCACTGCAGATTCTCGAAGGGCAAAGCGTAAGGACTGAATTTTTGGGATCTACTCGCAGGTTCAAGGGGAGGTCTATGCGAGGCTTAAAATACTGATTTGGGGATATAAGTAGTTCTAACCACAGTCATCTTACAAGCAGGCTAGCCGCACTCACTAAATACACGGAAACTTCAAGAAGTGTTTCAAGCTGTAAACCCAAAGCTACGCCCTTTAAGGGCTAGGCTCGAGGGTCGGGTTTAGGGCCCAGGGCTGTGTGTTCTGGGATGTGTGTTTCAGGCTACACGATACTTACCACGAGCTGAGTGGCTCTTGAAGTTCAAGCATCAAGGAACAGGCGACAGGTTTAGGGTTTAGGGTTTAGGGTTTAGGTTTTTTGCTAGACGTTGCGCAAAGAAACACAAAGTTGCTCAAATCCCCAGATTCAATCGCTGGAGGAAGGATACCTTCTGATCCTGCGCCTTGTATGACGACAACCGCAGTTGCGAAGATGATGACGACTATGATGAGGAGAGGAACGAACTGCAACAGCAAGAGCAACACAAAGGAAACTAACCAACAGAACTGAAGCCGGAGGAAGAGTGGCATCAAGCATCTCTGATAAAGGCAGCAGCAAACCTGATAGCTCGTGCCAAGACCACCACTGCAATCATCTCAACAGCCTTGTATTCTTCGCCGTCAGCATCGCCATCATTATGGTCGTCATCATCATCGGCAGCAGGGTCTCAACCGGCAAAGCGACTATCACCTTGTAATCACCCTCCTCCTCATCATCATCATCACCATCATCATCATCATCGTCATCGTCGTCGTCGTCGTCGTCGCAATTGTCGTGCAACGTCGACGTCGCCGCCTTCGTGGTCAACATCGCCTACAGCTCCTTGTTCAGAACGCGAAGTATCATCTGCCTAAACACGCTGACAGAGAGCCACACTGCTTCACCGGCCAGCCCTTCAAAACCTGCAACACTCCGCTTCACAAGACCACCGTGTCCTGCAGAGTGGGCACATCATACACTACACTGCGACTTCGCCCTGACTCCAAAACAGTCAGCCATCTACGCAGGAGGCTCCCACCGAGTCTCATTGGTAGACCTGTTAAAATAATAGGTCTTCCCACTGTTGGGGTCAGTGGTCTGCTCCCAACCTGGAGGAAGGCCACCCGACGCTCCTGGGCTTGGGCCTGGAGCTGGACCGGGATCTGCTGGCGTGCCCTGTGGGGGTTCCCAGCTCGTCTGGCCTGTGGAGCGGTTGCAGTAGTAGGGCCGGCCACTGCTCGGATCGGTGACCTGCTCCCAGCCCGGAGGAAGGCCGGAGGGCGCCGAGTTGGGAGGCGGCGAGGCCGCCGGCGGTGGATCCCAGCGCGTCTCATTCGTGGAGCGGTTGCAGTAGTAGGGCCGACCACTGCTCGGATCTGTCACCTGCAACAACTTGAAACAATTCTGTAGAACACGATTGCTTCTATCAGTGATAATAATTATTACGCTCCTTCAAAGCAAGCTCTCATGTTGTCACTGCTCTTGCTGCTACTGCCAGTTTAGGATGACTCGCACTGTGGCATGGAGGACGACCACTGACATGTGTTGCCTTTTTTTGTGACATATACGGGTAGTTCTCTAAGCTAGGGTCCCCTTTTAGGCCCCCAATATAGTACAGCACCCTTATAAATACGACTCTAAAGGACCCTAATTTAGAGAACTACCCATCTGATATGTTCATGATGACAAATGTTGCCGTTGGTCACTGTTGTCACTACTAGTCACTAGTCACTACTACTACCAGTGATCGCAGCGGCAGAAGCGGTAGCAGGAGCAGAGTAGCAGTGGCAGCCGTAGTGGTCATAGTAGTAGTAGTAGTAGTAGTAGTAGTAGTAGTAGTGGTAGTAGTAGCAGCAGCAGCAGCAGTAGCGGTAGCGGTAGCGGTAGCGGTAGCGGTAGCGGTAGCGGTACCGGTAGCGGTAGCGGTAGCGGTAGCGGTAGCGGTAGCGGTAGCGGTAGCGGTAGCGGTAGCGGGTGCGGCAGCGGCAGCGGTAGCGGTAGCGGTAGCGGTAGCGGTAGCGGTAGCAGTTGCAGTGGTAGCAGCAGCAGCAGCAGCAGCAGCAGCAGTAGCGGTAGCGGTAGCGGTAGCCGTAGCGGTAGCAAGAGCAGTAGCAGTAGCAGTAGCAGTAGCAGTAGCAGTAGCAGTAGCAGTAGCAGTAGCAGTAGCCGTAGCAGTAGCAGTAGCAGTAGCAGTAGGAGTAGGAGGAGGAGCAGTAGTCGTAGTAGTAGTAGTAGTAGTAGTAGTAGTGGCAGTGGTGGTGGTAGTGGTAGTGGCAG